TTTGGGAAAGCAAGGCTATGTAAAATTGAATGGGAATGTCAGCTCAATTCATATTATTGTGGGAAATTCTTCTTCTACCAGTTCTTCATCACCTTAAACAAAATTGGGTGAATAAATCTCATATTAAATAAATTGTACTATGATGTATAGTCACCCTATTTCGTTTAAAGTGATAAGAAGACTGGTAGTTGAATTGTTCCACAATCATATGAGTAGGTCATAAGTTTCCATTAAATTTCCCACATAACCTTACTTTCCCAAAAGCATTCTCATCCCAGCTGAAATGGGCTGCAGTTTCCACCTCGCCCAACTTGGTCTTCACATCAGCCCCCCATCCCCACCCCCAGTAAGACTCGAATGATAATACAGCGTATAGCCTCGACACGTTCACCACCAAGCCACATTGCCACGAGTCCACTTGGGCCACCGAAGAGATGTACATTTCAAGAAAGATGGTGCGATCGGCAAGGAAGCAAGCTTGTATTTACTACAGCTTCGACTATGCTACTTATTTTTTGTTTAAAAGTATGCCTTCGAGACTACCAGCCGAGTCCACCAGTAAAGTGCCCCTTAAGCCACACGTCGATGCTGCCAATCCCTCTGTAGGCGGGAATGTGTGAAAGTGAACGTCTTAGCCTCGAGTTGGCGTGGGCAGACTGGCTGTCAGCGGGAGGAGAAAGTCATTGGAACCCGGTGGACCAGGAGAGGAAGCAAGAGGGTGCAATCGCTCGCGGCGAATTAGGCAAAGACGAGCCGACGAAGAATATGCCTCTTCCGAGGAAGGTCAAGCAACTGAAGTGTGTCGGAGAGAGGAATTGCTTAGTCCCAGATAGAGAGCATGTTTCCAGTTCGTCCTCGACGAAGTCCTTCCAACTGCCCGATGCTCCAGGAACCACGAGACCAGCGGATGTGCACATGCAGGTTATGCAGCCACCCAATGGATAACTAACATCCAGGCGTGTACGTCCAACCTGCTCGTCTTCATTGGCCAAGCGTGCTTTTATCATCTCTTCTACCTTTTCTCTCACCTGAACCCGAAGGAGGGCTGCCAATGAGCCGTTGCGACGGTGCGGACGGGTGACCTCAACCCAACCGTGGCGGGATTCCGTCTTCCCATCTTGATAGAAATCGACAATTGTTGAGCTTACCTCCATTTCGGTTCCACCACAAGACGACAGCGGATTGCTCTTGACCAGCTGTCGATTGGCTTTACTGGAACATTCATGCTGACGCTGTTTCTGAGGCAATCTCCTTC